TTAATTCAACTATCCTCCAGCAGAATATACCAAGGAGATAAGCCAGTAACCTCCAAAACCAAAAATCAGGATTTAGTTTTCTGTGCTACTTTTATATTGATATCACCTCTTTACACAGCATCTGTAATAATTCATAAAAGAAGTAAATTGATAGCAATAAAATAATATTAAGAAATCATCTGCTTAGTGGGTCTTAAAGTATTAAAATAAAGGGAGCCACAAAGCCAAAGTGTCAGCACATGACAAGAATGTGTATAGAAGTATGCAAATTTTAATAGAAATCATTAATTTATGTGATTGATCATCAGTGATATTTAAATCAATCTAAACTGTCTCATCTTGAGGCAAAAAAATGTTTTCAATTTATGTGCTTTCTACAAGGGAAAAAGTCAGTCGAGGTATTGACAATTGAGCAGATGTTTCTAGAACGAAAGAAGAATAATTAAAAAAGAATACTGAAGTATGCTCATTAATTGAAGAAAATCTTTTAAACAAAGCCCAGAAGTTCACAGCTCCTTTAGCAAGTCTTTAAATAATTGTAACGACTCTCTAAGTTCTAGCCAGCCTCGCTGCTTATGCATCATTAAAATCAAACTTCTAATTCAGCCTGGGGAATTAACTTGTCTATATCCACATAATTAGCACCTCATCATTTTGTGCTATTCTGGGAAGTCCTCACACCCTCCAATTCCACATCCAACATTTGGAAGAGCAGTTACTACTGCCTCATAAAATTTTGCTGTCTTGAAATTTCTGTTTTCCTTTTCTGAAAATCAGATTTCAAACAAGAGGATAGGAAAAGCTGGGGCGATCAGTACATTTTCAAGATGTTATTAAAAATATAGAGAAACCCAGGAGCTAAAGGCTTTAGTCAGTCTGTCCAGATTCCTATGTAATGGTTGGGATTGTGATTCAGGTATCTTGAGAGTGCTATACTCCAGCCACATTCCATCACCCCGATGCGTTTCTGCAAGAAGATCATTGCTGCTTGACTGTGATTTGTGCTGATTTTAATTCGTTAAAACTCGAGTTTTTCGTTCATTTATTTTGTTCCGACTTTTTGGATCAACTAAACAGTCCGAATGACGGGGACCCCTGCTATTATAAAGTTAGTTCTTGACTTCGATAAAGAAAATATTTTTTGAGAAGTTCCTCCGTGTGGCCCACCAATTTTTAGTCTGTTCCTTGTTTGCACATGATAGGACTATTTAGAAACAACTGGGTTTCCCTTTTTCTTCTGTTTTGTTCTGGGTTGAAAGGCAAAACCCAAGGGACAGCCTTCTGCCTTTCAGGTCTCAGCCAAAGTTTCTGCCGGTCAAGTTTGCAGCTTGAAGAGCAAAAGGAGCCCCTGGACGGTGGCTGATTGACCTGCTCCTCACAGTAGCCTCCAGCAGGTCAGCCGTAACAACATTTGCGCTGGACTCTTGCAGGGGGTGGGGGCGGGGTGGGGGTTCTCTCCTGCCGCAAAATCGCCGCGGCCTCAGGCAAACGCGGACAGATGCTGGAGAGGAACTCGGTGGCTGGAGCTGCGGAGCGGTGGGCGTCGGGCGTCGGGCACCAAACAGCACGCTTTGGATATAGGGTAAGGGACAATCCCTGGTGATCTGCAGTGCAGAGGGAGCAGTTGGGAAGATCCAAACAAGATTGGAGGTCCCTGGGAAGTCGCAGTCGCCAAGTCTTGGGCTAGAGAGCTGAAACTGTGTACCCAGGACGCTTAGGGGACAGCTGGGCCGTTATATCAGTCGGGGTTCCCCTCCCTCCCCGCCCCGCGAACGGCTGCTTTCAATTGTCCTAGAAGACTAGGAAACTAATTCCTAGGCGAGGGACAGGCTAGCGGGGGAGCACCCCGCCCGCCTGGGACGCACCTGTTGTGAGAGGAAGACCCCCGCCCGGCCTCTGCGCCACCGCCCTCCCTGCAGCAGGGACACGGGGTGTGGCCCTGGAGAGCTCAGCTCCGCGCCGCCGCGGGCTGGCTCCAAGCAGCTCCTAGTCTGTCTCGGCCTCGGGATGCGCCTCCGGCCAGGGCCAAAATCACCGCGCGTCTCTGGCTCAGGCCATTTTGGGTTGGGGCATCCTTGTCCCAGCAGTGGGTCCCTGATCTCCCTTCACACACTCCCGGGGGGACGGCGGGGGGGCTTGCTTCTTCTTGTGTGCAGGGCTTGTGCGAGGGGCCTGAGCTGGGCTTGACCGTGAGCCCTCGGGATCTAAGGGACTCAGCGAGGCCAGGCACATGGCGAGTATCAACCATTTTATAGCGAACCAAGTTGTGGCCCTTGTAGCCCCTCATTCTGGTTGTTAAGCCCTCCAACGGATGGAGAACCAGGATCCTCGGAGGACCTGGGAATCCTAAAAGTCCTCACTCAATGTGCATATTTCATCGAGGTCTTGGACCTTGGGCTACCCGACATTCACATATCGCGGCCTTGGGGATAGAAGAAGGTGACCGGGAAAGGCAGGACTCCTGAACCCAGGGAGTCCGGGCTGGATCCTGCAGATCTTCCCATTCAAGCATTCTTGTTACTAGAGCTAAAAATTTTAGGCCAGGGTCGGGAGGGATAGTGGGCGGGGTGGGGAGGCGGTCTTGGTCTGTTTAGGTAAAGGCTCCTCCTGGGCTGATGGGACCCCGTGCCCAGCTGGTCGCGGCCCGCGTATGTCCTTCTCTTAGGAAAGGCCGGGCAGAGCTAAAGAGAGTAATGGTTCCTTCCAGAACCCAGCCTCTGTCTTTCCAGTGTGGCGAGTTGTTCAGCTTGTATTTCCAGGTCGATGCCCCCCGCACCCCTCCTCGCCTCTTTTTTTCCTCCATGCCACCTTCGTGACTAACTGGAAGACACTTAAAAGCTTGATTTCGAGCTGGCCACTAAGAACACTGGACTTTTTACAGAGTGATACCTTGCAGCAGTATGGCTCCTTCACTTAAAACTAGATTTTGCTACTTTGAAATAAAAATTTAGACGCAGCATTTCAGTTTGGGCATGGAAAAGATGTGGATACCCAAGGTTCAGAATAGTGGCTCCCGAGTTCCCCATGGACAGGGGCAGTGCCCTGGCCCCCCTGCGCCTTTCTCCAGTAGAGTGCTCCCCTTGCCCCAGCCAAGTCACCAAGGGCTGTGATGGGACTAAGTCGCTGACCCCAACTTCATTCAGTCCATCACCTGGGCGACAGGTCTTCTGGAAGCCCTTTTCTCCCAGCGGCACGTGGGATGTCACTAATCTTAGCTGAAATGGTAGAGTCTGATGAATGAAGAAACTTGCCTTTTGCTTAGCGGCTCAAAGCGCGTTTCCACACTCTCCCGGATTCTTGGTTTTGAGAAACTTCCCTTCTACCGAGGCGAAGGCAGTGGAAGAAGACAATTTTGTCCAGTCTTTGAGGACATGAATGTCCCCCGCCTTGACGAGGGACTGTTGGCCATTTTCTTTCTTTTACAGAGAAGCAAAGTTCAGTGTAGAAAAGGGGTCACTCCAGTGTTGTGTCTCCCAACCAAGCTAACAGTGCCAGGATGACTTTCGCCGAGTGACTGTGTGTCAACGGGCACAGCCTCGCATACATGTATCTTCCACTGACCGCTCGATTTGTGTCAGTGGACAGTAGGGCGTCCTCTTCCTCGCTTTGGCTATGGGGCGAGGAGACCCGAGGTTCAGGGGTAAATTCCATTTTGCACTGCACACCCAAGCACTGCCACATCATAGAATCTGGAGCGATGCAGTACCCAGGTTCTTCTAGAGGCCACTCCAGGCCACCCATCCATGAGGAAGGATTTCTGCCTTCCTGCCTCTCTCGCTATATAGCTAAAGTTTTGATCAACAAAACACAGTAAGGGGAAAGGAAAATCTGTGTCTACCACTGCATTCGCTCACACAAACCCTCTAAACTCCAGGCCTCCTCTTTATCCTGCCACGCTGCTCTGGAGAGCAGTGCCCCCAAACACACACGCCCCCCCCCCCCCGCACACACGTTGTTATTCGATCCTGAGCTCCTGCTTCCTCTGGTCCGCTGGCGGCCCCAGCCTGGTGGACCCTCCTGCGCGGCCGGGCTGATGCGGGGCTACGGACGCTCTCAGCGCGCCACACGGCGGCTACTGGCGGCCCCGCGTAGCATCTTCCACTAACGCCAGGGTCCTGGAAGCCTGAGCCTAAAGCATCTCTCCTCAGTTCTTGAGAATTTTTCCAATCCCTAACTCCATCCCTACTCACTCCGTTCCTTTTGCTCCCCTTCTCTTCCAAAGTTGCTTTTCTTATAACGTGTTTCTCCTCCGTTCCAGATCCAAGAAGTTAGAGAATTGCATAAAACTGACCTTCTTTCGACAATCTACTTTTGAAAATGCAACAGAAAATATAGAAAGTGAGAGACCCCTCTCCACGGCTTTGAAACCTCACCAGAGGACCCAATAAACAAAATTATTTAAATGCCCGTGTTTAGGAAAGGGGTCCCAATGAAGAAAAACTTCAGACAGAGAACCTTAACATGCAATCTTTCCCTTCCCCAACTCCCTCTGGCTGAACCTGCCCTCCATCCTCTCTTCTGTCTTCCACACCTTTCCGTTGAGACCTGGTTTCACCCACATGTTCCCAAACTTGGGAGCAACTATGAAAGGAAGGAAAGAGAACGTTTCCAGTCTCTCCAAACCCAGATGAAGCTGGGCCGACCATCTGTCTCACTTCTCTTCCCTTCCTTCGGTTCCTCCAGCTCAAGATACGGTTACAGAAACTGGGAAGTTGGGGGTGGGGGTGGGGGGACCGGGCAGGCGTGAGCTGGAACGGTGAGTGTGTCAATCATAGGGTTTTGTGCCTGGGGGCTCCTAGCGGTTCGGAGCAGAGGTGTCCCAGGGCGGCCCCACAATGAATATGAATAGGAATCCTTGCTAAATAGGACAGCAAAGCGTACCGCCCTGAATGATGGGACGTCATCCTAACCAGCCCAGGATAGATAGGAGGGCTCCTTTTGTCTCTTTTCTCCGTCGCAGCTCTATAAAAGCCCCTCTTTTTCAGCGTGAGGTTAGTTCAAGCACACACCAACTAGCTGTCCAGGAAAAAGCCTTAGCAGAGAGAGGGGAGCGGGGAGGGAGAGAGGCGGGGCAAGGCAGTGCCTCGGCTTTTCTTCTCACGTCTTGCAACTGTGAAGTGGGCTTCTGGGCTGTGCGGATTTTTTTTTTAGATTCAAGATTCTCCTTAATTTCCCGCTTAAAGCCTCCCCCACAGTAGGGCCGCATCCCCTGTAATAAAATGAATTCTGATTCGAGCTCTGTCTCTAGCAGAGCTTCGTCTCCGGACATGGATGAGATGTACCTGAGGGACCACCACCACCGCCACCACCACCACCAGGAGAGCCGGCTCAACTCAGTGTCGTCCACCCAGGGCGATATGGTGCAGAAGATGCCTGGGGAAAGCCTCTCGCGGGCCAGCGCCAAGGCCGCGGGAGAGAGCAGCAAGTACAAAATCAAGAAGCAGCTGTCGGAGCAGGACCTACAGCAGTTGCGGCTGAAGATCAACGGACGCGAGCGCAAGCGGATGCACGACCTGAATCTCGCCATGGACGGGCTGCGCGAGGTCATGCCCTATGCGCACGGGCCCTCGGTGCGTAAGCTCTCCAAGATCGCCACTCTCCTGCTAGCCAGAAACTACATCCTGATGCTCACCAGCTCCCTGGAGGAAATGAAGAGGTTGGTTGGCGAGATCTATGGGGGCCACCACTCGGCTTTCCATTGTGGGACGGTGGGGCACTCAGCGGGCCATCCGGCGCACGCGGCCAACACCGTGCACCCAGTGCACCCCATCCTGGGCGGTGCGCTCTCATCCGGCAACGCCTCGTCGCCGCTGTCCGCGGCCTCGCTGCCCGCGATCGGCACCATTCGGCCTCCCCATTCGCTGCTCAAGGCGCCCTCCACGCCGCCCGCGCTGCAGCTGGGCAGCAGCTTCCAGCACTGGGCCGGGCTGCCCTGCCCCTGCACCATCTGCCAGATGCCGCCACCTCCGCATCTGTCCGCCCTCTCCACAGCCAACATGGCCCGGCTGTCTGCCGAGTCCAAGGACTTGCTCAAGTGAGCAGCGGGCCCGCCTGGCTGCGGAGGATAAGGGAGAGAGGCGGGAGGGGCCGCGGGGCCGGGCCGGGAAGGAAGAGCGAGGCTGGGCGCAGGGCCTGCGGGAGGTTGGGCGCGGGGGTCGGTGGCCTCCCATGCCATCTGAGAGATCTCAGATTCTACTTGACCCCCGGGAGGGAAAGGACCAAAATCAAACTGCAGTTTCTCCGTGGTAGCGAGGAGACTCGAACCAGACATCGTGTTTTGCATGCATGCTTTTTTCCCATGCCGCGCCAGTATTTCTCACTGCCATATGCTGTTGTCAAAACTGCATTCGTTGTATAAAGGTGGAATCAGTGTAGTTAAAAACTTGCGAAGGAACTTTGAGTTGGCTTTCTCCGGTTCTGTGTTCTCAACTTGGGAAAAGATGGGCATCCCTTTTGTGCAAAACAAATGTAAATATTTATGGAGATGAATGCAAGTATGATTGTCTCTGTCTTCCACATAGTTTTTCTAGAGACAATGGAGAGAGAGAGAGAGATGAGAATTTGAGAATTTCAACTCCAGTCCAGGGCATGACACCTCCTATGTGGGTTTTCCTTTCCACGCAGTATAGGTCAAAAGAATGCATGCGCGCTTCTAAATGAATCTTGTGTAAACATGTTGTACAGGCCGAGGTGCCATTTTCCTTGTAACAAGGATTTATTAGTGAATTCTCCCAAGTACTCCATATGTCTGTCTGTGGTTGTATGAAATGAGAAGGGGGGCAGAGTGCAAAGATGCACACCCACGCACACGCGCTTCTTCCCTACCCTATGCCCTTTAGACTTCATTCCAAACCTTCCTGGCTGTGCTAGGGGCCGGAATTGCAAAAGCTTGAGCTCCCTGTAGTAGCCTGCCCCACCCCCCTTGCTCAGTTACTCTGCATGCGGGGTTGGCTCTCTCTATTATCAGCTTTGAAAACTTATCGTGGTTTGGGGAGGAGTTGCCGTTTTTATTTTCCTGAACATTTGCGTGAAATATTTTGTTAGGGCTTCAAAGACAATACCTGTCTTTATTTTTTATATATTCTTGATAACTATGATATATTTATTAATAACCAGTGTTTCTGGATGATATTTCAAATAAAAAAGAACCTTTAAATCCTGGTTTTGCCTTTGCCTAAAATCTTATAAAACAGAGAGAGTGGGATAGGAAACATGGATCCACACTCAGGTGTCTGAGTGTGGGTGAGGGATTTGGATCAGGGGAGAATGTGAAGAGTTTTTCTGGTCATTTACAAATAAAGAGGATGGGTAATTGGTGCTAGTTAAAGTGATTAAATGTCCTTCGACTGGGGCATTGTCCAAATTCCTAGTCTTGTGCTTATTTTTCTGCAGTAATCAGAGCCTCATAAACTCAGCAACTGAGATAAAAAAAAAAAGTTATGTGGAAGTTCAGAGTGGCAGGAAATGAGAGGTGGAGTGTTGACCATGCAGGCTGTGTTGGCAAAAGACAAGAATGAAGCAGTAAGTTAACTTCTTTTATCTTTAAAATCCAGTATATGTTTAAAAAGCCAACAAAGAGTGGCCCTAGAAAATAATTAAATACTCACCGGACCCTGCCTCCCTCCGAGTATGCCCTGCAGAGAAAGTGAAGGCCACTCTGCTTTGAAAGGTGAGCTCCGGGGGGAGTGGGGGAGGCAAAGGACCTCCCAAGCCTCAACACCGCACAGATTTGTAGTGGGGGAATTCTCCCATCTTTCTTCTGTGGAAGATTGCTGGTCTGATCAGTCAAGAACTTTAGACATCTTTAGCTTAAATGTTAGCTAAAACAGGAGTCATTTTAATCAATTCCTTTTCTCTCTTCACTCCCATTCCCTAGTTCCCCTGCCCCCTAACACTCTCAAATAGTTTCAAGCATAATCCAGCAGAGGGTTTTGATTTTTGTTAAAGAGGACAAATAAAATGGAGCTCTGGTGATAGCTGCAATAGCACCAAGCCTCTTCTTTCTCACCTAGGAAAACAGATGCCTAGTGAAGTATACCACCTCAGAACTTGCTTCTCAACTAGAAGCAGCAATTCTGGCTCTCTGGCTCAGGCTCTGTTTTCAGGATCCAGCTAGAAGAGAGCCAGGAAACATTTGCCCTTCCCTGGCTGGGTCCCAGGGTCAGTTCCTGCCCTGTGCTGCCCTTCTCTGTGAGGCACCTTTGTGGGGGCTCCCTTCTATCCAACTCACTCTCCTCCATCCTCTTACTATTATTATTATTTTTACTCTCCCACTACCCCTGGGCCCCCAGCGAAGAAGAAAGACAGAAATGAGGGTCTGCAATGGAGGGGGCTTGTTTCCACTGGCTTTGAGCAGACAAATGGCAGAATAATCATCAGTTTCCCAAGTGTTGAAACCAACACGAGGCAGCAGCCCTCCAGCCTTTCCCTAGAGTTTATTATTTAGAAAGGGGAGGGGAGGGGAAGGTTCATTACTCAGGGAAATGACTTTTCCCTCTAGAGCCACTAGCTTCTTTTGAGTCTTGTTTCCAAAAGCCTGGTCCTGGGGAAGACTGGGGCCTTCCAACTGCCCCAGGGTGAGCTTCCTCTGGAGCTTGGATAAACCTGGGGGCTGAAAAGGAGTGAGGCCACACTCTAAGGCAGCCAGGGAAGTGCTGGCTATGGTGGTGCACTGCTGGGGCAGGAATTCCTTGTATTGCCCAGCAATGGTCATTGTAGAGAGCTGTAAGGTGTGTGTGTGTGTGTGTGTGTGTGTGTGTGTGTGACTAAAAGGAACCTTAATCCCAGGGCTCTTTACCCAAATTCACTGACTAGAATGAAATACACACTCCTTCCAACCAACATTGAGAAGATCCTTCAAATGCTTCCCAAGCTCTTTCCTGGGTTACAAAAATTCATTCCTTTCCTCTGGAGACCAGGAGGCAGGATTTCTGTAACAAGGCAGGAACAGGGAGGAAGGCAACTCAGGGGCCTTCTGGGTTTCCCCAACTTATAGGGAAGGAAAAAAAAAATCACTACTGGTTTCTCCAGGGAGGAGGTGTTGCTGTGGTGTCCAGGCTGGTCTCCTGGGAGTGTGAGTCTGCAAGTAGACCCTACTTTCGTTGCTTTTCCAGTTAAATTCTCTAATTATCTAATTCTCCAATTATCCATGCCAGAAACAATATTAGATAGAAGGTGAAAATAGTTTTCCACCAGAGGTATGTTTGTTTTGTTTCCCTTGTAAGTTTACCACTTTCTCGAAAATTGGCAAGTTTAAAGCAGGTTTTTAATAAAAAATCTATACATACATATGACAAAGATAATTTCCTTCCAGATTAAACATTGATTTTTACTTAAAAAGGTAGATAAAGCCTATGGACAGAGATACAGCAAGATAAACCTACTTAGAAGCCTCCTTCGCACCTTCCCAGGCGGGTAATTGAACTTAAGGGCGGAGGAAAGTCACACTTGAGGGGAAGGAAAGTGAGGCTGGCGTTGGCTGGGTTTACCTGGTTCTCTAGGAAGCGTCCCTGACTCTGGGGCCTTGGGCTTACATCCACAAAAGGGCAGGGAGACTCGGCCTGAGGTTTCCTAACACCGTCAGCAGGAAGTCCCACGTCCCCTCGAAACTTTCTTCCAGCTGCTGAGTCCAGCAAGGTGTTGTCGCCTTCCGAGAGGGCGGTGTATCCGTTGAACACCTCTCTCAGACCATAAGATTTACTGGGCCTCCCAGGTCCTTTTCAGAGATTTCGGGACCTCTCTCTCATTCTGCCACCTCTGCTGGGGCGCAGGGATGACTGCTCACACAGCTAGCGTTGAGGGTGGGTTCCAGGCCTCCTCCCCACTGCCGGCCCTGGGGATCTGGCCAGACACAGTCACGAATGATCAGCCTCACATTTTGGGGGCTGTTTCTGGACTGACAGGGCAGGGGGAGTCAGCCCCTGGCTTACAGGGACTTCTTAGTGGGCACCTGCCCTGTGGCTGTCTGCCTGCGCCCTCAGGTCGGAAAGCACTCCACAGTCACCTCTCCCAGGAAAGGAGAGCTGTGAAGAGAAGGCGTCCGAGCCTGACACCCGCAAGGGCCTTGCGGGATTTGGGTCCCCGCCAGGTCCAGTGTCCTCGTTTTAGAAAGGAAATAAGCTCTGAAAGTGTCCTTCAAAAGATGGAGACCACGGAAGGGGCCCTAGGTAGCGGGAGGTACTCCCACCTGCCCAGCCCGTGTCTAGTAACACCTGCGGGGGAGTGCCTGTCCCCTCCCACTCTTTGTAGTCTGTGCCACTCGGGTCCCCAGCGCCAAGATTAGCGGCTGGGAGGAGTCAGACTCCGCAGGCCCGGCGCGGACGTGCCAAGTGTCGGGGTTTTAGTGACGCCTTCCCCGGGACCCTGCGGCCGCGGGGCTGCGAGGGTGCAGAGAGCCCGGGAGCCCGCGGCGTCCGCGACCTCCTTCCCGCCTCTCTGGCCACCCGCGGCGGGAAGCAGCTAGCCCGGTCTCCGGCTCCGCGGGGCTGGGGATCGCAGGCTGGGGCTGAGTCCCGTGGGAAGCGCGGGTCTCGGCGCCAGTACCCCGGCTCCTCGCTGTCCTGGGCCGCGCAAGACGCAGAGAGGCGCGGCAGACAGAAGGATGAACTAGGCCAGGGTACCACTGAGCGAAGCCCATCCTGACTGCCGCCAGCGCCTGCAAGGGACCTGGAAACCCTTAAGCATTTGTGGGAACTGGGAGGGAAGAAAAACGCTAGCAAAAACCAGATCCACACTCTGGCCACGCGCGGCAGGCGCTCTTTTCTCTCGGTTCCCCGCGCCTCCACCAGCCACCCTAGCCACCCCCGCCCCCCAATCCCAGATAGACACTCAAGGGTTTGTAAAGTTTGCTAAGAAGAGAGAGAGTCCCCCTGGATGGCCTCGGCTGCTGGTGCCCTCACTTGCTGGGGACCTCATCGAGGACTAGCGGCTGATGGGGACCAGTGCCCCGGGCGCGCGGAGCCTCGGCTTCTAACCCAAGCCCCGGACTGGCTGAGTTTCCAGTGGCCAAGTGTAGATTCTTGTCTCTCAGCCAGGTACTTTCCAAACGAAGTTTAACACGCCCAGGGAGCGGACGCTGGGGGCCTGGGTCTGCTGGGATCCAAACCCCAGGGAGGGCACAAGACAAGGTGTGCAGATCTAGGGGCTCAAACAGGCCCCTGACTTTACTGCTGATACTGGGGTCAGGGTGGAAGCAAAGTGGTTGGGGTTCTCGCAACGCAGAAGGCTTTATGGGTTTAGGGTCCTGTCCCGCCTGGGTTGGAAGGGAGCCCAGAGAGTGTAGGATCTGGGCCTAAAAACACCCCTCACCTCCCTTAGGCCTGGAAAACTCCAGAAGCCGGATCTGGAGGACCCTCTCTGCCTGCTGCGGGGCTTAGAACTCACTTCTGCCAAAGCAGGATCTTTTATTTCAAAAAAGAAATAGAGGTGGGCGCCTGCACATTTAATGGACTCTTCTTTTCTCCTCCTGATTATTTAGCCTACAGTCTTGTATCTACCCCAGGAAAGGACAAGGAAATTTATAGCATCTTTTGGACCTAGACGCAAACTTTGAGGTGCCTCTGCAATGCCAGTGAGCCTTGACGTTTCTTTGGGACTTCAGCAACCAATATTTTCTAAAGTCTTCCTCTGTGGCACGCACTTGAGGTGCACCAGAGAGAAAAAGATACTAAAACATGCAAGAGAAGTAAGACACCAAATACATAAGCGGTAGCCCCCATCCTCAGGGCCTTGGGGGCCTCAGGGGAAAGACCGAGTCATCTAACTCCCTTAAGTCCGATGGTAAAAACCACCACACTTGTACCTCAAGCACGTCCTTCTATGGGCTTTTTCAGATGCTAGAAATCTCACTGCCGTTCTTGCACTCGGTAGAAAGGACAGGAGCAGATGCCTTGATTAATATGGAAATAAACAGAAGCAATGGTGGTAGTGCTGAGTTTCCTCGCGGTTGTTAAAAGATTTATAGACACAGAGATAAACTTCGGTCTGGGCACCTCCGTAATTCATGTGCTCATTAGTTATTACCAAATGAGCAAATCGTTTTTCTTTTAGCTGGCTTTTTAAAGAAAAAAATAAATAAAAGGAGGGAGAAGATTGGAGGAAATCTTTTTAAAAATGAGATCAGTCATTATACGTCTTGACTGCCAGTTCCCTGAGCTA